CAAAAAAAAGACCAGCCTGCCACTTGCATATATATATATATTATATATATATGTTTATGTATGGCTGTCTGTATACTGAAAAGTGCATCTTCCTTTCCCTGGTCACAGTCCCTGCCTTCCTCCCAAGCAGTGCAGACTGGCTTCTGCTTGCTTTCCAAAAGCTTTGAAGACCACAGGTGAATCTAGACCTGTTTCAGACCTATTCCAAGTGGCTGCAGCCCTCAGAAGTTGTAATTCATTCTCTTTATTTACATTTTCTTTTCTATTGATTCAGAACAGAATCATGTTGTATATAGCATGAAATCAAGGGTTTACTCCATTTCATGCCACAGGTGGGGCACAAGGTACTTCTGTGGGCACATTTAGGAATGAAAGGCCTCTTGGACTTTGGAGACCTGTGAAGATCAGAGGGAAAGAACCCCTGCCTGTCTGTCAGATCCATCTCTCATATTGCAAAAAGTCTCTAGTGAACCATCACTAGATCAACATCTGGATTTTGACATGGAGCAAACCAGTTGCTTCAGTTCAAAAGGGAGCCCAGGAACAAAGTAACACTTGTCAAATAGAACCAAGCTCCATCTGTGAGCCAAGCCTTAGATGATGCAGGCCTTTGAATTAACATTTCTTTGGCTATTTGAGAGAGCTGCATGATGTTTTAAAAAAATAGGATATGACACTGATGGTAAAGCTGTACTTTAAAAAATAAGCAGTGGTTGCCTTCAAATTGCTTGCTTTTCTAGAATAATGAACAACTCTGGCTGACTTTTTTAGATGGTTGACTTTTTACACCTTTTAAAAAATCTGGTCTAAATTTATTACATCTGTAAGATTTGCACTAAAATATAACCTATTGCAAGAGAAACTACTAATGGCCATGAATTAAAAGAACAACAAATTCTACTAAAACTTCTAAAATCCTAGTAAATATAATTCTTGCTCTTTCCACTGACATCTAACTCTTCTTCAATCTGCATTTATGGTTATTTTATGTTCCTGATCTGTTTCAGTTCGAATCTTACTACAAAATAAATTAAGTTGGACAAATATTACCAGGTCATTGAAACAATTAATAACTGAATAGTGTTTAACAATTTTGCCTGGAAGCTTATTAATAAAGGAGACTAAATAATGTTTTCTTAAACGGAGTGATTAATTTCTCATGATTTGATAATTTTTTCCTCAATGTTGTACAAAGAAAAAGTGTACTGAAATGTGATCTGAAAATAACAATCCTAGCTCTGCTTTTCAGACTTTGAAAGCCTCCATTTAAAAATCTAGTTATGGATTAATCTTTTAAATAAAAATGGAAGAAATTATTAAAAGTATTCATTGTCCATATGCAAATCTCTAAAATTTTTCAATGTGTTAACCAGGCATCTGTCAAACTATTCATGTACAATGTTCACAAAACCCCTCAAGGTTTAACATAAATCAGTTATGTCTCAAAAAACATATATCTTTTTGTACACATCTGTAGACTGAAACAATCTTTAAATTTTTTTTTAAAGTCTTCTACTGCAATTTCAACTCTAATTATATAACGCTACTTCTAAATGTCAAATATTTGTAAGTATTTATGCTAGAAATAAAAATGTGACATACAAATGAACCTATCTCCTCTATTTTATAGACCATGCATAACTAAAATTTCATTCCCCCATTCGTTACATGCCTTTATAGAGTAATTGTATAACTCTTCAGAAACAGAACTTATTTTAAACTCTGATTCTACAAAGGTGTAAAATGGTTCCCAACAGAAAGTTGATGTCAAGCCATGGACACTGAACACAGAATGAACATGGGAGAAGAACTTTTATAAATGATTTGTCAAAAAAAAAACAAAACCATCTAACTTGGACCAACCATAGGACCAAATGGAACCATCATTTCTTTACTTTTTTCAATTCACACTATCAAAAGTACTCTTCCATAGTCTCTACTAATGTTTTGATTGTCTTGCTGAAATTCCACATTCTTAAGATTTACTATAGATGTATAATTTTTTTATTGCTAGAATGATAGTTTTATAATTTCTTGTTTATATCAGACAGATCTCCAAACTTTTACATTGAGTTTTCAAAGAAAATGGATGGATTGCAAGATATGAACACCTACAGTACCCAAAAGAGAACAAGTGCTCACTTAAAAAGGAAGAATATAGGGTATATCTGAAACTCTCACAGTTGTCTAAAATCAATACATGAAGAAAGTGCCTGGAGTGTGGGTGAGATGGTATGTGCTGAAGAAAGGGAGATGAGTGGCTGGCACACGTCTCTGAATACAAGGCAATCTGTTGGGAAGAGGGTGTCCAAATCATCACAGTAGGAAAGTCAATACAGCTCTCCCACAGGCTAGAGGTAGCTGTTGAAATTCTGGGACATGGTGGGATTTGAGGCACTCCCCATATCTTCATTGTTTTTCTTCAGCTAGCTTACCTCCTTCACTGATATGATGTTTTCAGCATTATTTTATGTCTTTTGGTACTACTGCATACTTAGTGAGTTGTCTAACTTGGATGTTGTGAAATCTTCTGGGACATGGTTGAAACACCATGTCACCAGCATTTTGACAGCTGATTCCAATTTACAGATTAGTCTGAAAACTGACTAATCATTAACATTTTGTTCAGTGTTGGGTATGTAGATTGTGGTTATTCAGAGCATCTCTCCATAAAAAAGACTCAATATCCTTAGAAATTCCCATGAGACCAAATGAGTTAACCAGGAAACTGAAAAAGAAGAAGAATCTACTTCTACTATAAGATAGAGCAATAATTTAAGGAAAACTTGAGATTTGATGGAGCAGAATTTACATATTATTGGAGACAAACTACTATTGAACAGCCCCCCTTTCCAATTTTTACATTTGTATCTCAATACAGCTGCAATGAACTTAATTTCATTTTCTTTCTTCTTAATGGCTAAGAATATAATTATTCCTCAGAGAAAAGCTTTCAACCAAAACACATAAAAGCACTTCTGCTGCAACACTGGTGTCTATGAACCATTGTTTGAGCATGTTAATGTGCTGCTGTAGCAATAGATAAGGATAGAAGTGTGTGGTCAGAGAGGCCAGAGTTGTTTATAAAGACTCTCTGAGGACTAAGAAACAATCTATTCACTAATATAAATCATGAGCTGTTGAAGTGAAAAATAAAATCTCCTTTTCAGAAATGAAGAAATCACCAGACATCAATGGAATTACATCTGGTGCACTTATTCGGTGCAATTATTCAGTAGACAATAGAGAATGTAGTAACTGATTTTGGAGAGGATAAGGTTTGTCCAGATGAATCTTTTAAAGCTAGCTAAAGTCTTTTTCTCCTTATTAGTATCCCCAGCAGCAAAGTCATGGCCAGAAAAAAGCACTGAAATGAAGATAAGTTAAAAAACCCCTGACTAGAGATTAAGACATTCATAGTAGTGTTAATGTGGTGGTTTTAATGTTTTTCTACAAAAATCAAACTTCCTTTCTATTTTAAAGTGTTCTGTTTTCTCACAATTACCATGGCCATTTCAGACAAATCCAATTTGACTTGACTTTCAGGGTGTTTAGAACATACTCTACCCACAGACAAAGTCTCTGTAGCTTGTCTGCTTTTCTTTAGAAAAGCATGGATTTCCAAAAGAAATCTCAATATGTCTTTACTTCTCTGTAATATCAAAGAGATTAACCCTCACTTTTCTAGTCAACTTTATCAGATCCAATATTCTTGTCATAATAAAAGCTAATACAAAACTGAAATACTTTGTTAAACAAAATATAGGAAAAGAAAAATCTACAAAGAAGTTGTCACCAAAGTCTCTTTTGACAATAAGGATGGTAGGCTATTATTCCCGAGCTATGGCAGACCAATTTCTTAATCCATTACTAGATTCTAGAGAAGTACTTCTTTTCTCCTGTGATTTCTCTTTTTATTATCAAATTTTTGTTTCTCATTTCAAATATTTAGTGGACAATAAACTATCTCCAGGCATGGAGACACTACACATAACTGAAACAGCCAGTTCTCTGAACAGGGAAATATAGACATTGAAGTATAGAGTCTACCAAGATGTAGAATAATCCAAATTACAGAAGGTTTGAAGAGGCTGCCAACATCACCTGTTTCAACCTTCAACCTAGTACCACCATAATCACGCCTAAACCATATCCCCAAGTGCCACATCCAAATGTCTTTTGAACACTTGCAGAGACAGTGACTCCACTACCTCCCTGGCAATTTATTCCAGTGAAAAACCACTCTTTCAGTGAAAAAAGTTTTCCTAATATCTAATTTGAACCTCCCCTGGTGCAATTTAATGCCATTTCCTCTCATCTTTTCATTTGAGACTTGGAAAAAGAAACCAACTTCCACCTCACTACAACCTCCTATCAGGTAGTCGTAGAGAAAAATGAAGTCCCCACTTAGTCTCCTTTTCTCAAGATTAACAACCACAGTTTCCCCAGTTGTTCCTCATAGGACATGTTTTCTTGACCCTTAACCAGCATTATCCATTCTCTGGACAAGCTCCAGCACCTCAATATCCATTTTGAAATGAGGGGCCCAAAACTGAAAACAGTACTCAAGGTGACGCCTCATCAGTGTCGAGTACAGCAGGAAAATCACTTCTTTGGTCCTGCTGGCCACAGTATTCTTGATATAGACCAAGTTGCCACTGGCCTTTTTGGCCACCTGAGCACACTGCTGATACATATCCAGCTACCTGCCAATGAGCATCCCTGAGTCCCCATTCCTTGCCAGTGCCAAAGCTGATGTGTTTTTTATCTTCTCTGCCTTTTTCCTGTCCTCAAGTCTCCTTCCAGATTTTTTCCCAACGTTCCTGCTTCTCAGAATACAATTTTTGAAAATGAAGATTTAAGATTTTTTCTCTGTCTTTTGTGAACTTACAGCTAGTGAGGGTGAACTTCTCCTTAATTGGTTAGAGCATGGTGCTACAAATGCCAAGGTCATGGGTTTGATCCCTGTACAGTCCATTCACTTAAGAGATGGACTTGATGATCCTTGTGGGCTCCTTCCAACTCAGAATATTCTGTGAAAAAAAAATGATCTAGTCTACAGAGGGCTATTTAAAACTGCCTTAATTAAAGCAGGAAATAACAGTTCAGTGAGGTCAACCAGAAAACAAGGACTTTGACAACCAGAGAAGTGTGAAGATATAGCAACAGCATCCGTCCTTTGAGCACTGAGTGAATTGCTTCCTTTTACCATGGCAGAATTGAAGCTTTAATTCTGTCTTATTACAAATAGTATAAGCAAAACTATCAATTGCTTAACCAATACTTATTGATTTACAGTGCTCTGGGAAGGAAAAAACATCTCAGTGGGATGCAAGTACCAAAGACAATAGAAAGGATCTAGGTCACTGGGATGTGACAGCACTAGTCAAGGTTATTTGCCTGTTCCCTGATTTCAAAAAACTTTGTGGTATACAAAAAACAGGAATAAGGAGCCTGGCCACCTTCACACCTTGTAACTCGTGTATGTGCATTGTACTGGCCCAGGTGTACAAGCCAGCTCTGTCTTCCAGCTTCTCCATGTGAACGTGACAAAAGAGTGCAGTTTACTCTCTTCATTCAGTCAATACGTGTTACAGCACTGCTGGTCTCTTTTTGCTTTTCTTCTTTAGGATGCTGATATGGTAGAGTTCATGTGACACAGTGCAATAAAACATTGCATTTATTCCAGTACTGTCTCCTTTTGTATCCCATCATATACAACCTACAGATTTTCATAGATAATACCATGCTCATTCAACTCAGGCATTTTTCTCAAGGGAATGTTTTTTATCATCTACGTATTTAGAAGCTAAACAAACTAAGATCAAAAAAATCTGACAAAAAAACACAGAGAAAAAAGTAGAAACTAGTCTGTTCACCAAATTTTTCAAGAAATCCAAAATCAAATCAAATTTCTGATGTTCGCTTTCATCTGTTAAATTTTTAGAACTGAAGTAAAATTTAAATGAAACAAAAATCTTAAATTAAGGAAATGAACTGTACATTTGAGTCTGCTAGAGGTTTTTTTGGTTTCGTCACAGTTGTTCAGCTAGATATTGTAAATTGACAAAACGCTTCAGTAAGCCTAAATGTTCTAAATTATTTTGTGGCATTTTTTGCCAACAAAATGCAAGTGAAAGATTATGCTCTGGTCTAAAGTCACGCTTTATTTAATTCTAAGCTTTCTAGGCACTGAGGTTACAGACCATATATTTCTTTCCACATACACCAGATGTGAAAAAATTGCATGTGGAAAATGAAAAGAGAAAACCTCTCTGGTTTTCTATGTTCTTGTATTATTTCAGTCTTCAAGCATGTTTTTTGTGAGGCTCATTTGAGTTAGATGTAAAACAGTGGTGGATTAAAGGGTATAGCAAAAGGAAGGAGTCCAAAACTGGGTTACAGCAGACAGTCACACATTTGGAGAGAGCTCCATAAAATTTTCAAGTCATATATCATGTGTGCAAGACAGTGAGTTGTACATGTATTTTCATATGATTATGTATATAGAATATATAAAAATGTTCGGGTTGGAAAAGACCTCTAGGATCTTTGAGTCCAACCATTAACCTAACACTATCAAATCCCCCACTAACTATGGTCCTAAGTGCCACGTATCTCTTAGTACACATTCAGGGATGTGTACATAACCCACCCCTCAATATAAGCTGTTTTAAGATTGTCTTTATGATATTTGTAATTAATTCTTCCACTTATATGTGCAAAGTAACACAAAGAGTAACAAAAAGTTGTTTCTATTAAATAAATAATAATAATAATGGCCCATCTTCGCGAACGAAGATTTGGGGAAAGGTCTTTTACCTTTCCAGCCTGCGCAATGGATTTTTTAGGTGAGACACAGCCTGCGCTGAACTGAGCCCACCCTTTAATCCTAAGGTTCATCTGCCGGGGCCAAGCAAGCTTGGACAATGGCAGTGAGGTCCTCAGGACGTAGGTTTGTTTAGAGTGTCCTTCTCATAGATGGATGGCCACACAGGGCTAACGACCTCCATCAGGCCAGGAGACCGCGATTTGAACCCGTGGTCGCAGCAGTGAAAGTCCTGCACGCTAACCACTAGGCCACCAGGGGTCTCCTATTAAATACTCCTCTGTACTAAGTGGTAGGAACAATTGATTTCTCAGTCACATGGTCACTGTGTGCATGCAGGTGTTTCAATCTGTAAAACTTTACGTGAAATTTTTCATTTATTACTACTGAATAGGAAAATTGAGTCAGGAGCTTAGATATGGTAAAGAAACCCATTTTAGAAGGTTATTGAAATGAAATATAGTACTGAAATATTCATTTATTTAACTTTGTTCCAGGCTCCTATAAGATCAGTAATGTTTGAGAAATTTGCCTTTTGTTCCAGATACTGCTTGAATATAAGTGGATGCCAACGACAATTTTCTTTATAACTGCTAGATGACAATCACAGGAGAGACAAATATTTTACAATCTAGACTTTTGGTGATTGGGGGCTAGGGGTGATGTTTGTACTTCTGGAAACTGCGTTTACCTTCCTACTGCAAAGGAGATGTAAATAATCTACTTTGATAAATGCACATGTTCATTACAAATATTGATTGACCTTTCTGTATATGTCAGTGACAATAAGTAGGCTTTGGCAACCTGTGAGGATGGAAACAAGTTAAAGACACCCTTGTAAAGACTAAGATAAGCTTTTAGTGGGGGAGGGGGATAAGAGTTGAATTTCAGTGTATATATCGGTAAGTTCAAAGTCATTACTGACCTTTCTGAAGATTAGAAAAACAGAATGATATTGTAAATTTCAGTCTGCAAGCAGCCTCTATTGAAGTATTTCAGTTTATTCCATTGATAGCAATCCCAAGTCATGTCCTCTGACTTTTAATGCAGCTCAGTTTCTGGAAACAGGATCTGTAACAGTAATATAATTTTATTAATCAGGGTGGTTTTGGGATGATAAACCCAAGTTTATAATTTGCCTATAAGCAATCTGAGCTCTTTGTGGGGCCATTCAATTTTTGTAAGACCCCAGGTTCTAGCGATGAGCCCATCAAAGGGGTTTTACTCTATACAAGGCACAAAAAATCCGACTGCTGAATGTATGAAAAAGGCCATCAGTTCTTTTATACCTTGAGAGACCGCATGGGAGAAGAAACTGCACATGTTTCTCAGGAGGTCAAATAACACACTTTTATTGGCAAACTTTAGAAAATAAGGCAACTTGGCAAAAGTTTAAAGAGCAACATTCAACCAAAATGAAGCATTTCACAAAGCATTGACTTAGCACATGCTAACCCATACAACTTAACCCATCCAGCTTTAAGTTACCCAAATACCAAGAAAGGAGGTTAGGAGAAGAAGAAGAAGTAGAGAAAGAGAGAGAAAAAGAGAGAATTATAGCTACCACCCCAGAGTGACAGCTGCTCCAGGGCTGGCCAAGGAGGTTTCAAGGGGCTGGGGTATGGAGCAGGGCACCATTTCACCTTCATGAAATTCAACTTGTCCCTTCCCCCTCAATCACACACTTGAGTTTGTCTGAACCAATGATTAATATAATAATCCAGTGTGTCTCTCACAATTTTTCAGCTAAGTTAGGCTATGTGAGGAAAGCAGATGTTTCCAAGGCTAAACTGAAAGGGAGAGGACAAGAACAAATAAAGCCTTCCTCACACTTTTTCAGTTTTGCAGAACTCCTCGTCACACCCAGGCTGTAGGAGGTCTGCAGGAACCCATAGCCAAACCTCTTGCTGGTTTGTGGCTCTCTCTGCTCCAAGCCCTTTAGTTCCATCTGCTGCTCATTTAGGATGGACCTCCTCAGAAAGCTGAAAGCAATCCCAATATGTATTTTCCTTTTCTATTACATAATTTTCTCAGGAATAAAAAACTTACTTTTACTTTGTGGCCTGAACCCCATGGCCCGTATCCCTATCATGGATCACAAATCATACAAAGCTCAAGTCCTAATTTTTAGTGTCAAATCAAAGGCAATTCTCTTCTTTCATATCCTTTAAAGTTCTGATTTTTCCTGAATTTTACTCCCCATGCAGCTCAGCTCTTGGCATAAATGAAAATTCCACTTTAAAGAGTGTAGAATTGGCAGATTGGCATGCAGATGAAGTTACAGATCTCAAGGACACTTTCAAGTTGCAAGAGGTGAATGAACACCCAGTAGATTATGAGTCAGAAAATGTCAGAATAATCATATTAGGAAACTCCTATGGCTTACTTGACCTTTTTTATAGGAAAAAAAAGGTTCAACTTTGACTTTGCTTGCACTTGTTTTCTTCCTCTTACTCAGAAATTAAAAATGTTATTTTAAAGGCAGGAAGCAATTGGAAACTGCTCATACTGTTAATATTTTATATATTGTTAGTGGAATGAATGCCAAAAAGAGATTGCATTTTCAAATGACAATGTATGTACTTAAAGATATTTGTAATTAACTCTTATAGAGCTCTTTAAAAGTAGAGAACAAAGCAGAATAAGTGTTTTGTATGGGGAGGGATAGTCACTGTTATTTTCTGAAATATGTTTTTCTCTGACAGAGTAGTGCACAATAGTGAAACAGACTCGTGTCTCCAGAAATTTTTTTCTCAAGGCTACTGAGCTGAAGCATATTGACTCACAGACTATTTTTGAGATAAGAATGTTATTCTTTTCTTTTTGGCAAAAAGATGAACTAACAACAGTCTTCAATTCTGGTGAGGCTGTTGTGAGGTGCTTGTTCAGGTTCCTTGCTTCCCTGCTAGCCCCATAGTCAGGCTTGGAAACGTCTGCAGATATGAAGACATTGATTCATCATCTGCTACCCCAAAATCAGACAACTTCACACCACATGCATTCTTCAGCAGGGCTGATGCTTTCTTCTGCAAGTCTAGAGCCAGCTGACTTTCAAAGTCTGTTCATGTGAGCCTGTAGGGTCAGTCCTTCAGTCCTGAGCTCAGCTGAGGTTCCCACTGTTGTTTTAGAAAGCATTCATCAGTTTAGTTCTGTTCCAACATGAGAAAATATGCTCCCATGGGAAAATCCAGAATATGACTGCAA